TTTTTTTTTTTTTTTGAGAGAAACAAACTTTACCTGTATAACTTCCTCTCTAGTCAGTCAGCTAAATATTAATATCTTCCCAATTCTCATCTCAGAATGATGGCTTCAAGTCTATAAACAGCTGCAGAAGAAACAAAACAAACCAGATGATATGCCAATCACCAACTTCTTATTGGTCACCCTTTCCAATGAACATAAACAGCATTTGTAGATAAATACATACAACAAAACATCAGTGCCATCATTCTGAGATCAGTCTTGCTGAAACATTGTGCTTTTTCCTTCAGATCCAGTCTCACTATTGCACATGCCTTCTGCAGATGAGAGCTTAATGCATAAGTTGATATCACTGAAAACAAACAATCCACACAACATGTAAAGGATTATCAAAGTAAATGTGCAAACAATACTGGTGCTTAAAGCCCCACATGTAAGTCCCTAAAACAAAGGAGTTATAATTGTTGGCAGAAAAAAGGTCAAGTAACTAGACCTGCTTTCCCCACTTGTCTTTAATAAGATCTTATTTGCCAGCACACAAAGACAGGACTGCAGGCTAACAAAAATTACCACACTAAACTGAGTTTCCTGTGTTTTTTAACTAACTTCCTTTATACTGGGTAGTAAGTCCAAGTAGAAAATAAGTTATTGACATACTTTTCCAAGTAACAGTCCAGGCATCTCCAGCCTCATGGAACAGGGTTTCCAGCTGCAAGTGTTGGCGGAGTTTAGCATTCAATCTGGGAGCTTGGCACTCTCCGCATGTTCAGGGCATGCCGGTGTATCTCTTGCATCTGTCTGATGCGGTCCTTCTGCCACATTAAGTTTTGAGGCATAGGATATCTCTGTGTGCCATGCAAGTACCGGTAGGGGATCCTGACGTGACAAGCAGTGGCCCTACAACGGGGCTGAGGCATGGGAGGAAGGAGCATCCACCTCTTTCTCTCAGCACAGTATCGATAGGCCTCCTTCCGATACTGTTTGTCAATATCATCGCTGTTTTTCCAGCCTCCAATAATGAAGACATCATCTTTATAATAGCAAATGGCTGCTCCTTCAATGCTTAGGACTTCTGGAGGCAAGCTTTCAAGGATCTCATCAGACACCTGACCGGCAATTTTTCTTACTGCCTCTTCGTTTTCTAAAGAATAACTCTTGGGACAGCATGATGCTGTCTGATAAAAGTTTGAATTGACCACAGACATCTGAAAAAAACAGTAATTGTCAATAAGTGGTAAAGATTCCACATCTTTCCACTGTCTAGTCTCTGTATCATAGCAAGTAATTACAGCCTTCAATCCATCTTCGGTGTCCCGGTCCACAGGAGTGCGGGCAGCAATGTACACAAACCGGTCCTCAATGGCTAGTGCTTTGACATCTCGAAGAATCTTTGGTGCTGATTCTAAGTTGTGCCATTTATCAAGCTCAGGATTGTAAACAGTCACATCTTTGAAGCCAGGGCTAAAATTACCATGTCCTCCAATGCTATACAGCTTCCCTTTGACTTCTGTTAGCCCAAAAGAATGCTTTCTTGTCATCAGACTACACACATGTTCCCATGTATTCAAGTTTGGGTTGTACCTTTCCACGGTTTTAGCAAATCCTGGTTCCATCGAGCCAGCAACATACACATACGATTCGGTTACTGCAACGGCATGTCCATCGAGGTGATTATGAATGTGGGGCAGATTTACCCATCTGTCCTCATCAACAAAATACCCCACACATTCACTTAAGTAGTCTCCTCCTTCTGACACACCTCCAATAACCATGATGACGTCCATGTTTTGTCCATAGCGAGGTAAGAGTGAGACATGGGAAGCAGGATGCTGGAGTGTGCCAGACTGTAGATTCTCTGCTCTGAGTGCATGCCTCTCCACTGCATCAGCCACCAGCTTGACACAAACTTCATTATTGGCCACCAGCCGCTCTGGTTTGACATGCCTTGTAAGATAGGTGGGTTTCATCTGGGACAACCTAAGCAATTTAAAAAGTTCTTCAAAGTATCTCTCTCTTTCTTCAGCATTTCTCTGAACCCACTTCAAAACCGTTTCAAAAAGAACCTCTTCAGAATCCACGGTAATTTCCAAGTCTGAAAGCCAGTCTCGAATGAGATGGAAAGGTAAAGTATAAAATTCTTCATCCTGAATGACTTTATAGAAATTCCTCCGGATCATATCCGCAGCTTTCAGAGCAAGCTGGCTGAGAGTGTACATGTGGGCTAAGCTATGAATGGCCACACAATTTGAGAGATGAAGTTTTTTCTTGAGAAATTCTCCACAAAATTCTTTTAAACGAATTAATAAGAATCTAAAATCAAGAAAAAGAGAAAAGATTAATTGTGGAATGCACTTATTTTATATGGTTGCATTGTAGGTATACCTGAATTATACAAACTGAAAGGATTAATCTCATAAGGACAGTATCTGGAAAGACACCCCCCCTCCCACCCCTCTTGAGCAAGTATGCTGGGAAGTCTAGTTTTCAGGAGGAAGGAAAAATAGGTCTCACTATGCAGACAGCTCAGTGGGCAAAGGCACTTGCCAGAGCAAGCCTAGAGACCCAAGTTCAATTCCTAGAACCCACATAAAGATGGAAGGAGAAAATGTCACAAAGTTTTCCTCTTACTTCCAGGTGTGCACTGTGGCACCCACACATCATAAATACACAATACACACTTTTCTTTAAAACAAAAATTGTGAGATTACAGGCTCTTGCTTGTAATCCTAATATTCAGGAGACCAGGACAGGTCAAGGCCTGCCTGGAAAACTTGGTGAGACCCTGTTTCAAAATCTAAGAAAATGAGCCAGGTGGTGGTGGTGCCTTTAATCCCAGCACTGGGGAGCCAGAGGCAGGCGGATCTTTGTGAGTTCGCGGTTAGCCTTGTCTACAGAGCAAGTTCCAGGACAGGCTCCAAAGCTGCAGAGAAACCCTATCTGGAAAAACAAAAACAAAAAATCTAATAAAAATGAAAACAAGGAGGGGCTGGAGACATGGCTCAGGGGTTAAGAGCACTGACTGCTCTTCCAGA